ACTGTTAACATACATTTGTACATTCTCTAACACGCATATTTTGGTTACACAGTTCATTAGTAAATACCATAGTAAATACCATTATGTCCTTCTGTTTTTTTACAGTAATAAAAGTTATAGGAGCATTAAATAGTTAACAAAAAAATAATTTTGAACAAAATTCATTCTAATGCTCATTATATTAGCGTTAGCTAACGATTAACTACGTATATGCTAACGGCGATGTTTATTTCAATCCGAAATTCAAATTAAAATATGGAATAATATTCATTACAGAAGCTCTAAATATTAAAAATGTAATTGAAACTTACCTGCTTGAACTTGATCGGGGTGTTTTGTTAGTTTGATGCGTTTCCTCCTCTTGAGGTCGCCACTGCTTTTAAGAAGAGGTTGCCAGGTTTTCACAACAAAACCCGCCCAATCGCGTTTCAAGGGGGTCCCCGTTAAAAATCGCGTTCCGAGGATAAAATACGCGTGTTTGTTTTTTGTCCGCCATCTCTATCTTTCTGTCGCTCGGCTCGGCTAATGTCCGTCCTGTGCACTGAACTCTCTCTCCTCCACATCATGAGTAGACACGCATGCCCCTTTTTGCTGAATGGCTACAAGTTTGTTTTGCTATTCAGCCCGAATCAGTTTTCTAAAGCTATTTGAAAAATCGCTTACTCCACCTTTAAGGCCCATTCAGACCAAAAACTGTAACTATATAGATAACTATAATGATAACTTTATTAGCATCCACACCCATGCATTGTGACATTGTTTATTATAAGCAAGTGCTGCACTTATGTCGTCTGCCACTGTAAATGCCCAAGCTTTTTAAAGTCGGATGGATTCTGATTGGCTGTCAAACATTTTTTTTATCATTTCTCTGGTGGAAAAATAGTTCTGAAATTGTCGTTATTATTATTAGCTGTGGTGTGGACTTTCCATAATTAGAACGATTATTAAAACGTCATAGTTTGTTAATGTTATGGGTATTGTCCTTCCATCCAGACTAGTTTTACAATCCTTCCTTTCTTGATGTTTTAATATTGTCTCTAATTTAAGCTTCAGTAGCAAATGTTAATGAATGTGTGTTGTCCCTGATAAATACAAAAATACAATTAATAATGTTAATTATTGCAAAATGTTTTTAAAAAGTAATATGCAATTATTTATTAATTATTTTCTGTAATTAGTTTTGAGC